TCGTGTGGTATCTGTGAGATGCCCGTAAGGACAAAGAAAAGGAGAAAGACAAGAGCAGCCAGAGATGAAGGCAAAGAGAAAATAACTGGACGGTAACGAAAGCAGGGAAAAATAAGTAAGGAGCCATACTACATTGAGAAGAAAACATAACATATCTTGCCGTCGCCTAGTGGGTAGCCACCCTGCTTCCAGTAAATGTTCCTTAGGTATGCTCTTCATTGTCATTCCGACACAGCGAATTTCAGCCCAGTAACCTTTTCCAGTAGCAGATAGCCAGATACATATTTTATTCATATAAATGAGTTAGCTAGTATGAACATTCTTCTTATGTCGAGCGGACCTGAAAGATCCGATGACGAGGAGCAACGGACCCGTGGTTCCTAGATGGCGATGGTGAGGTCTTTCGAACAGGGTCTGACAGTGCCAGACAGAAGTACGGTGATGTATTATTAGAGATCCTCTTAACAACATGGAATTCCGTGCAATAACCATTGTATGAATAGCAATTTTTAGTGTCTCTGGTAGAAATCTTCGTGTTCTATTAGAAAAGGTGGAGATGCCGAGCATGTTCTAGAGTTCCCTCAAGCGTTCACCTCAGTACATATCTCTACTCTTCAGCGAGGAAGGCATCAGTGGGATAATCAAGACGAGCGTCTTATTAAGAACCTAAGTTGGAGATGAGACTAACGGCACAATGGATCACACGGAAGCATTGTAGCAGGAGTGGATAGCCTTTGGTGGGGAAGGGGAGAATCCCTCAATGAAATGACTGCGAAGGGCGCAAATGTTCGCGTGACCCTCCTGTTCTGCTGTGGATGACAGATGACGGATAGATGACGGATGCTGAAGCAGAGTATTTTACGCCTTCAGTGCCGACTAAGCAATGTTAGATTGGTATCTGGAGTTCACGTTCTTTCAATTAGTTGAACCGGAACCCTAAAACGTTCAAGGGAGTAGCAGATACTTAGGATGTTCTATGAAGTGCCCTTGGAGGGTTGTATCTTGAACTGAACATCCAGTTATCATAGACCTGAGTACAAAGAAAGTTTAAACATATGAAACTTAAATATCATCGCACTGCTGCCGTGTCGCAGTTAAGCGGGAAAATACAAACAAACGAAGAGTACGTAAGAGTAATGAAGAAAGTGTGGGGATTGGGAAAAAAATTATTTACTTATTTGTTTCGACTTGATGTTGTGACAACTGTATCTATTTATTATTATACATGCCAATCATGTGTGGTTGCCAAACAGCAACAGAAACAAAATCACAAAAAGATACGCATAAGGGCACATTTTAATTGAGAATAATCATCCGCCTGACCTCCATTGGAATACTTTACTAAGATAGGCTTTAGGGAGTTTGTCGATTCAGGGAGGGAGTCGAGCTTATTTGAGCCTGTACATTAATCCAATGAGGTTTACAAAGAATTTGTGCCTAAGATCTAAACGGGCTGCACTGAAGTTTATCTTACCATGGTTTCCTCTAGTAATGGATGACATTATGAAATGAATCAATACATCGAACCTTAACTTGGCCATGGAGTATTCTGCATTATCCATTATCTCATCCCTCATTCTCCTCCATAATGAGGGCGATTTCGAACCTAGAACGCGGTACCGTGATGTAGAATCCGGTATATTTGGGTATAATAAATTATGGCGGCGAATAGTCAACTTACGTGTAAAATTGTTTTGAACTGCCTCCAACTGTTTTTGTTGTGGTATTCAAGGGGTTGAAGACTGTCGTGTTAAATATTCCAATATAAAATAAAAATGACCACAAACAAATAAAATTTGCATATAAGATACCAGATAAATAGTTGATGATGTGGTCGCTAGTTGCTAAAAAGTCAGTGAATACCATTTGGCATGAATTTATGCTTTTCCACTATTTTTACAGGACCTTCAGGAACTTAAGGCTATGAATTCAGCGCTGGGTACAGAGGGCGCAAGGACAATATCCCCGCCAATCCATTTGGGATTACTTATTCGATGCGCGCCAATTTTTCCACTCTTCAACCTTTACATTTCTGCGCCTCCACGGCTCGGGAACCTCATATCTCGAGAATCCTGCGCATACGCAACCTTCCTCAATGCACCTATCCGCCCTCGGCTTCGCTTCTAATAATATTATTCCTCGTCACTAGCAGTGATACATACGTTTGGTACATTCTCTTCCATGAGTCACCGCACCGAAGCATCTCAGTCCGTTACAGCGTCTAGTTCAACCGGTGATATATGCGTGATCCCTGTTCAAAAACATGCTTTTTGATGCTGGGCTATCTCAGTGTAGCTATCATCATACATTCTCATCTGTTCCTCCTCATAAAAGATGTGGCTAGCATAATAGGCTTCGAGTTTTCGCATCAAGGCGAGAGGTGAGACTTTCGCGAAAATGCACACTCCTTCTATCAGGGCCTTACTCTAATATGCCGGTGATAATGGTCATAGACTTTGAAACTTGCCACCAATAAAGAAAGGAAACAGGTCGTTATGGCAAGATTTGAAAAAGAAACTTAAAGACTCAGTTGCTGGCCCAATAAAAAAGATTACCTAGTCACTCGAGGATAATGAACTTTTCTTATTGTTCCTGTTGGAAAAAGGGATTGTCCGTCGAGGTGCTGATTACTCAGAACTAAACGAGGGATAAATTTATCTGTTTGGAAGTTGCAGTGTACTCGTTCAGAATCTTACGTGAACATCTTTTCCCAGCGTTGAATGTATGCAACGAATACTGGCAAACTCGAGGGAAGTAGAGTAGGCCGAAAAAGTCGGGCTCGCAGGGGAAGGATACCTGGTCTCAATGGCCATTCAAGATGAGACGTGTACCACCGCAGGTGTTTCCGAACGCTAATGCTTGCTGAACCACACATTTACCCTACTGGATAACAGTGGCGCTGAAACTTTCGTGTCATGCCTACGAGTCCTGGTCCTGTCAGCCACCGTTGTGCAGTGTGGTAAGTGTCCGATACGGTTATCAGCTTGACACATGGCGGTAATGTAGGGGAGGAACAAGTCCCTAAATTTGTATCTAGAATCGTACACTAGATTCGAACAGTGGATCGAGACCAGTGTTCGAAAACACCTACGAAGGTATACATTTCACCTCGAATGGCTAATGTAAAAATATCCTTCTCACATAAGCCGCGCCTAGGTATACACTCGGAGCTCTACTCCGTAGTTGAACATTGTGCCCTATCCAGGACGTTTTCCGACAATATAGCGACAGGCATGATATAAGGGAGAGCCTCGAATCTAGACTACAGGAAAATCTCAGAAGCCATTTTTATCGTAAACTGTGCCTTTAAGTTGGCTCTATTGCTGATTTCAGAGCGTCATTCAGTGGAAACGACTGCCGAGTAATGGGATTCTTTGATTAATCTTATGATAACCTACCCTCCAACTCACCCGCTCACTAATCTCCATAGGCGAGCACATAATTCGCTCATTCTGACCTAATATTTACAACCAAATAATCACAATTTGTCGTGAATAACTAATTCGTAAGCTCATCTTCTCGCTTGCCGTTAATTTCCGTCGATAGAACTCGGTCCTGATGGAACAGAATTTGCTTTTCATGGACGAGGTGGTGCGCTTCTTTTGGCACTTAACCTATAGATGGCTATGAACTCATCTACCAACGCCATAAAATTGCAATTCATGGGTGAGATCTCGAAGATGGGCGCTACCTTCAATTTGGAACTCTATATCCCACAAAAGTACGAGCTACCTCTCACGATGTGATGGATCATCGCTGTTGTCAACAAGCGACCGCAGAGGACCATTGTGATCGCCTTTCACGGACTCGTATTCCTCGTAGTGGTTAAAAAACTTGTTTACATAGCATCTGAATATATGGTTCAAAAGCTCTTTATTATCTGCCTTTGCTTCCTAAGTGATAAACGCTATGCTGCATGAGCGGAAGTCCTCCAACAAATACGATGGCACCTCCTGTGGGCAGAATATTCGGCTGGTGACACGTTGAAGAGCGTTTTGATCCCATGAATCATTTTACCCCTTTCTCCTTGAAGCCTCTCAAGCTCATTATGAGCAACTTTTTGGAATTCCTATTTTGCTTGGATGGAGCTATAGGCTGTACAGCGCGAGAGCAGCTCGTTTATCATGCATTTCCAGTGTTGCTTAAATGTGCAAAAGCTCCGTTAAATAGCCAATATCGTGTTCAAAAAAGTTTTGCAAGCGTTTGAGGTGCATTTCATGAAAAACAGAACCACCGCATTTATCAAGGACCCGAATACTCATGCTATGCCTACTGGTAATCTACCAGCTGCACCATCTTGCACAGCTACGGCATTGCTCGGTTCGATTATCTGCTAATTACAGTGGTTTGGCAGAGGGGGAATTGGTCTCGCAGCTTTATTCCCAGAATCCTCGAGAGATTTGAAACACAGATTTGAGATCAGATTCGAAAACACCAACCAACCGTACACATTTCATCTTGAATAGTCATTGCGACTGCGTATCCCTCCCAAACAACGATTTGAAAATATGATGTCCATGTGCGACTGTCGATAAATCTCGGCATTCTTGCTTTAGTTTTGAAGTTTACTTTTTAAGCTGTAGAACCGAGATATTAACAAACAATCGAAATAGTGCTTGTTCGAATGGTTTTTCAAATGCCTTTTGTCTTTCCAGGCTCCGAGGAAGGTGAAGGCACCGAAACTCCAGCCTAATAAAGTTTGTTACTACAACAATACCATCAGGAAGCGCTCTCAGCGCAAATGAACCTGCTGCGAATGGCCCAGTCAGAGGAAGAAATCTCGAAATACGCACTTCCTCGGATACGTGGAAAACTGAGGCCTGGAGTTGAGTTCGAGCTCACGGATCTCTAGATATCGTGTCGATTGAAGAGAGCTCGGTGAGCTGCCGTAGGCCGGTTTTTGAAATCGGCGATATTGGAGTGCGGGGAACAAGCAGTGAGTGCGTAGAGGACGGCAACGGCGGTGGCTGCTCAAACTTATTGACCATCACAGTGACGGTATGGTGGAGATAGATTATATGCTCGATCCTGGATGGCCATATCTGAGGCAAGCAGAGGATCTCCAGTTACAGGTGCGCATCATTTCAAAAATATCTTTACACAAGTAGTGAGGAGAGATTCACGAAGGGGATAGCTGATTAGGTACAAATGGCCGTGCTGCTACCCCAGTTATGGATGGCATAGGTGACGAAGCGAGAACTTTGACTCGTTCAGCTCGATTAATCGTCCTTTTGTGGTGGTGCAATATATGTCGAAATTCTGGTAGTGTGAGTATATTGATAAAAAAGGGGGAATGTAGAAATTAAGCAGTTCGCCAACTTTCTGCGTTACTCCTGGGATGGTCATGCTGTGCACAAGTGATTTCTGCCTGAACCTCCGAGGTTGATATCAGCTTTGCTGGCTCATGTTTCGGCAACGACCACCCTCTTCGGCGCCTTTGAAGTCGAAAGCTACACGTGACATCACTTAGCAGATAACTTCCAAACCATAAACAAGCAAGACTCCTAATGGGATCGAAGTTCCATCAAGCCCTCCGTTCTATAACATTTGAGGTGATTTCTTGGTGCTTTAAAACTAGTGGGTCAGAAAAAATACCTCAGAGGGGGCTCTCTGCTGGCACAAATTCCAATCCTTAAGATAACCTGAGAGTGGGACTTCATGCATCCTCAGCCTAATCCCTTTCCGTTGATTATCATGTAACAAACGTTATTCTTTTGTTCTTGTTCTTTGGTAATTTTTGATGATCTTTGATAGTTTTTGTCTAGTACTGACTTTTTTGACACACGTTTCATTTAAAATGTATCTGGTGATTGTACCACGTCCATACTATCAGAAAGAAAATTGTTGACGTACTATGATCCGATAAAATTGGTAGCGATCTTAGAGGCTAGAAAGAAATCAACGAAGAAAGTCAACAAATACTACAAAAAGGCCACTTGGCTGAAAGTTAGAGTACAGTCCAGTGCGGGGGGCTTACTGTACTCGACCATGGCGTGTGCACTCAACAGGGCACTTTTGACAGCTGCATTTCCCGTTTATAATCATTGGCAAGCCGAATTGACTGCATGTCGAGGAATTCTAGACGAAAGAATCGCATTCCATATTTTGAGGGATGAGGTTTGTACCAAAGAAAACTGTTAAAGTGCAAGCTAGTACCTCGAAATGTTACTTTCTAACACATGACTTCGCTGCAGAATTAAATGTCCACATTCAGGTTCAAATGCCCTTGCGATGCCGTCACTTCTTACGCTTGATTTATGAATTCTGTCTTTGAGCGTCACCCCCTTTTTCGTGTTCCTAGCGGAATGATCCGCCTTTAACTTTGTAGTTACTGCTTGTTACATTTTTGTTATTAAAAAAAAGTTCTTTTTTCAAGGAACAAGCTGCTCGCCGATTCGACAACAAAACTCACACATGGGTGGCGGATCCAAAAGAGGGTTTTGTGATTGCTGCAATCGCTGTTCAAGAAGGCAACAATTACACGCTTACAATGCCTGACGGAAGTTCGGTATGGTACAGTTTGGGCTCTATTACCTTCGTGCGATTCCGTGCAACTGCCACTGCACGAATAGTAATTTTTAGGGTCTCTGATGGGGATCTTTGTCAGTGTGTTTTCTTGGAGGAAGTGGGAATGCTGAGCGTGTTCGAGAAATCCATTAGCGTTCATCTCAGTCTATCGACAGATCCCTTTTTTCAGCCAGGAAAACACCGGTGGGGTGGCCCTGAGGACCTCGACGACACGCTCAGCGTATTCACTTCCTTTACTTCCTGAATTCAGACCAATGATTTTCTACTATGATTTTCTGGATACAGGGAGAACTTTCTCGGAGGTTGAAAGGAAAATTTGGGAGATTTGGTGTTTTTCAGAAGAAAATCAACAAAGAAGAATGTCAAGAAATTAATCCGGCCAAGCTAGAGAAAACCGAAGACATGTCGAATTTGACGTTTCTCAACGAGGCCTCCGTATTGCACAATCTTCGCCAACGTTACTATTCTATGATGATCTATGTGAGTAAACTTGAAGACTCAATGGATCTTTCGGTTTTTTGTTCAAAATCCACTTATTAATGCTTGATATGCCGTTTAGTGAGATCTGGACCAATTTATGCTCCCATCTATGATCTCATATAAAGTGATCATTAATCACATCTGCCAGGATTTGTAGAGACACTTTGAAAAGTCGAAAATCCCCAATTACTCATACAGCTGGAAAAGAATTACTAATTAGAACACTCATAATATGTTTAGTGCATCCCAAAATGGTGGCCATTTCTGATCATCAAATCTCCTACAGCATCGATTTTTGAGATAGCAAATTAACAAGAATAGAAAAATAATACATAAACCGATAAAACATAGTGCCATTGCAGACCTACTCGGGCTTATTCTGTGTGTTCATCAATCCGTACAAACTTCTACCAATCTATACTGATACGGTGGCTGCTATGTATGTGAATAAACGGCGAGCAGAAATGCCACCTCATCTGTTCGCCATCTCCGACGAAGCATACAGGAATATGATAACTGGTATGGTTTCCGATTGAGGTAGTATTATTCAAGAAAAATTCATTGAGAATAGTGGAGAACTTCTATCGATAGACACCAACCTAGAAGTCAAAACAGAAGACACTTTGAATTCAAGGATTCAGGAAAAGCTGCCTAGACAACCTGAACTTGCACCGGTTCTTGAGCATAGACCCATACTGGTTTTTTGATCAGATTTTCCAATCTACTCATCATTATTATGGAAAGCAATGCAGCATGGCATTTGCCGTATCAACGCACTGTAGTGTATAGGTTAGATACAAAAGAAAGTGTGTACCATCTCTAGCATTGTGCGCTGTTGTGGCAAGACCTTTTCGAAGAGATCCATTCCTTCCAAAATCATCCATACATTGTTGTGAATTGCAGTTATAACATTCCTCAAAAGATCCCTGTAATTATTTAAGATCATGAGAACCAGTCGATGCTGATCACGGGCGAGTCGGGTGCTGGCAAAACGGAAAATACGAAGAAAGTAATAGCATATTTTGCGAAAATTGGAGCACCGACATTAAAGAAAGACACGGAAAAGAAGGCCGTGCGGTTCGCGGATGTCATGGTAAGTAAATCAGCAATGCCAGTAGTGTAAGAGAGAGTACCCGGAAAGCACAAGTACAGATTCGTGTTTCGTCAGAGGCCGACGAGGCCGAAAATTTGCCCATGACTCGGTTTTTGTCTAACACTGATTTTGAGAACAACTGAAGTGGTCATAAAACTGTCGTAATACCTTCATGCGAACCCTCGAGTTTAACAAATCATAACTAGAAATAATTAGTCGAAGTATGCCAGAAGGATTACCTTAGTTGTGTCGCTAAGGCCACTTCTGGGTATAATCGAAAGTTGAATGGGCATTTCTGCCCTCATCTCACCAATGGTAAACCGAAACCATCAAAATCTTCTGAGGGATTATGTTGTTGTTATCAAGCGTCTCGTGCTCGGCCAATTTCATCATCCTGTGCTCGTTACCCATTTGGTAGGAGTCGCCCACACTCATCGCTAAATTCTCCAACAAAAGTTGTCATCACATCAAATGTGTTACCTCCGCTTCATAAGGCCACCTTTCTGACCGCATGGGTAGGCAGTGCGAACGAAAATCCATCTTACAGTTCATAACGAATCAAATAATGGTTCAATTTCAATGGATATGCACTATATTCCAAGCATTATCACATTATTATGAGGGATGCACTTTTGAAGGCTCGGATGAACCAAGCTCTCGGGAGCCTAGAGGATATTGCGTGGATTGTGTAGTTATACTTGAAATTTCGATTGAATGGTGCCAGCTTGCAGTTTGGTGAGATAGCTAGATTTCTGCTTCATTATTTTGATACCGAAAAACTCGAGCAGAGTAGGCAGGTACAATTTTTGAAATTTGGAATTCTGGAATCCAGTCACAATTAAAGTGTCGCTCGCGACCGTGTGGGCTAGTTATACCTGTGTAGCTCACAAATCTTTTGGGTTGAGACGAGTACTTGAAACACATTTTGAGGCAATCGGTCAGAGCCTCAACTGCTGCTTTGATAGCAGTGCTCCATTGTCTCCTGGTCCTGTTTTTTTTTGCCTTAAAGAGAGTTTATGTCAAAAAAATTGTCACGTGCTTGAGATCTCCAAGCAGAAGTCGGACACCTCCTCATGGTTGTGCTCTTTTCTCTAATTCGTGACAGCCGCCGCAAATATTCGACATGCTCAAAGCAAACATAGGACACGGCCGATGAGAGACCTTCTTCATCCACTGGTATTTGTTAAACTCGTTCCGGAAAAACTCGCCAATGCTTCCAGTAGTGAGGAGCTCGGCACGAAAAACGGGGATCGTGAAGGATTTCAGTTCCAAATATTTCGCAACTATGTTATTTCGAGAAGGAGAGGCTATTCTCTGCGGAAACTATTCATGGAAACAGACGTGTCGTAGTTCTAGCACATGACCCATACAATATCCCTAGCAAGCTAAGTCCAGTGTTATGGTGCAAATCCAAAACGATTTGGAAAATGCTGAAATCCCATTTTTTCTATGTCGAAACAGCAGCAGACCTTGGTTACAAGGCTGAGACTTCTACTTCTAATTCTTCTTCCCAGCTCTGGTCCGGTCCAGTTGTTAAGCCCGCTATTTTTTTAAAAATAACTCCCTTAACTACTCCAGTATTCCAACTAGCCCGTCGATGTCGGGCTTTTCTTTTTGTACAAAGCATCCATTCCTTATTCTTTGCATTCGCTACAACAGCATTGGCGAACCTCTTGCAACTTCTGTAGGCAGCCAGGTCTCCTGAAGCTGAAGTCTTTTGCAGGTGTTGGTACGCATCTATCTCTGCTTTACAACTCGTTGGATTTCAGCAGCGCTTCATAGCTACGCTGCCTTTTCCCTTTTGAATCCTTTCACAATGTCCTCCAAGGCCGCTGAACCGATAACTGGAGATCTGGGGTACCAGCTCTCAGTATTTTTCGTCTAAAATTTTCCTCGATACGATGCAGCTTAAATCACCAAATTCTCCTCCAATCGCTTAATTTTTACCATCGTTTTTTAAGAAGTCGGTGACTATTTCTACAAAGCCTGTGCTGCGGAGCCGACTCCTTGTCCGGCAGTGTCTTAAAGAGGATAAAGGACAAGGTCCACAACACAAACCAGCCCCTTTTTTAGGAATACGCCTCAGCATTCGACTTCCATAACTTCCATTCAGAATCGTTAGGGCTTATTGAGCCGCTGTAAAAGTTAGCGCTTCCCCCCCACCCGGAGGGAATGCGTGTGTGATAGTGCGTCACCGTGAATGTAGTGCTTTGATATCCCCATCTTTTGGAACCGTATTCATTCAAGCACTGGTCGATTTCCGGTTGTCCCCTTCCGCTGCAGTACGCTCCTTATGCACTTGTGATTATCGAGAATGTGCTGTGGACTGCTAGGTGGTAGTCTTCAGCCAGATCGAGGACTCCCTCGCCTTCGTGGCTTGTGACTGATAGTATTCTGCCTTCATGGACCCTTTCCATGCTCCTTCGGTCACAACAGACTTGATCATTCAAACCATTCGCTATCGTAGAAAAGATCCTTCCAGGGTTGTCCTGATGGTATCGTCAAGGATCGAATAGAACTAATTCTTTCCGTGTCCAGAGGAGCCAGCATATGTTGCTCTCACAGATATTATTGTCCAGGGAGCCTCTCTCGTCCATCCTCACATCTCGTTGATCGTGTTTATCGTGCAGGATCCTTGATGGACCCCTTTAACACTATGAAAACAACATTTGATCGGGTATCGCCTTCGTCTCGGCGAAGCCCGATTTCTCTGGTCCTTGCTCCTTCCGAGTGTGTTTTCTGAACAAATAGGGTTTGACATTCTGCAATTCGTCAAGTAAGTAGCTCTTCGGGACCCACCAGCGAGCATCCCGACGTTCGTTGTTCTAATTCGGAAGAACTTCTGTCCAGTGTATAATATAACAACCATCTGAGCACGACGTATAATCCGAGCATTCTTTCAGGAAGCCTCACTGGAAAATCAGGTGGTGCAAGCAAATCCTGCCATTGAAGCCTTTGGCAACGGAGCCACAGTGAGGTAAGCACGATTTCTACCACAATGACGTATTGATGTAGCTTCACCGCGAACGATTTCTAAATGAAATGCCATTGGAGAAAGGTTGAGAGTGACTCGATTAGCTTAGGCATGAGACATTAACACCAGCAAAAGTGCAGCGAATGTTTAGGCGAAGGTATGATGGTTTTTATGATGGGTGGGAATACCGATACTGAATATACTTAACGGTAAATGTGCTTCAACTGCGATATCAGTTGCCAACTTCCTGAGATCTCGGCCAAGCTTTAGAGCCTATGGGTCTGTGACGCGTGCATGGCGCGAATCGAGGGTTCCAGTATTTGCTTATCAAAACAGTTGATTCAAAGTTTTGGTTTTTGAATTTGCCTCTGCCATTTGGATTCAAGTATTCGCATTGATTTACCACTTACACTAATGATCTTAGGAACTACAACTCGTCAAGGTATGGTAAATTCGTCCGAATTCACTTCGATAAAAGAGGAAAACTAGTTGGAGGAGACATTGAACACTGTGAGGATTTAGAAGTGGTCATTTGTGTGCACATTGTAGTGAAAATAGGTCACCCGCTTTTAGAAGAACTCAATCTTGTTCAGCGAAACCACCCTCTCCCACCTGAACTTGAGCTCGAGCCGATTTATTTGCTAACTCTCCACAGAATCTCTTCCGATATCGCTTCTACTTCTTCCAAAACTGTCCAGCGACTGTAACAGCTCATAAACTGATGAGGAAAGTTTCAGATCTTCTCGAAAAATCTCGCGTAATCAGGCAAGCACCGGGTGAACGATCTTATCACATATTTTACCAGATCTTCACACAAAAGAAGCTTCGCGGTATGAACTTATCGAGTCATAATATTTCGAGAACGGACTTCCAATACTTCGACTCTTTACTTTTGCGCTGAATTATTTGAATTATTTGCATATTTCCAGTTCGTACCCGAGCATACAGTAGCGCTCAAAAGTATTCGGCGAAATGCTTCTTCAGTTATAATTTTCAGCCATAACTCCTTNTATCGAGTCATAATATTTCGAGAACGGACTTCCAATACTTCGACTCTTTACTTTTGCGCTGAATTATTTGAATTATTTGCATATTTCCACCGTTCATTCCCGAACATATACTACATAATAAGGGAGGAGGTTGTCTAGCGGAAAGTGGCGCACTTTACACAAGCATAGTCACGAGTTCAAATCTTGGATCGATATCCACCTAAGCCATCCAAGTCTTCCATTCCTATGGGATCGGTTGATTGGTACCAGACTCGGCTAGGAGGATAAAAGCACTAAATTGACGTCGGCTGGCCACTGCAAGTATTGAAAAGGGCACATACGCATCCAATACGCCACTATGATTCTGAATGGAAGTGAAATGCGTGGGCGCATTCCTATGACGGATTGCTTAACGCCCCAAGACTTTATCCTTAATACGATCCTGTGAACCTGATGGCGTAGGGGGTTGAGGCGCTATTTGCAATTCGTCGAACTCATCCAGAACGAACAAGGCTGTATGCTAATCTCCCAAAAGTAGTTTTAGAGGTCATCTACACATTTAAAAGCCTCTATGAATTTGTAGATAAAAGTGTAGCAAGACATGAGAGGATTGATCTGGGAAACTGTTTTCGATTGGGCCTCTTCCCTGACTTGACGAGTACATTAGCTTTCACCACGGTACCCGCTACTCATTTCGAGTTCCGATTCAGATCGCTTCCAACTCGGTGATGACATTCGTCAGTTCAGTTTCGTCTCGCAAGCGGAAATCACTGTTCCCGGCATGAACGACGAAGAGGAATTCCGGATCACCGACGTAAGCAAACCTCGCAATTCTTCAAGTTCGCTCATCTTTCAAGAGAGTTATATTTGATGGAATACTAGTGTCCCGCAAATGCCGATTAGGCGGAGTGGGTTGCGTTTATACTTTTCAATGAGGCGACCCAGCATCCTTTACTTTTACTCGGATTTTAAACCACTACTTTTCATAACCATTGCCTGGCAGTGAATGTGAGCCTTGCGTAAACATCCGACGTAGACATTACATTCAAACTTCAATGGTCACCATCAGGCCTAGAAAAACCGCTGAATAGGTGATTTGTGATAGTGTAATACATTTTCAGAATGCTTTCGATGTGATGCACTTCACGGATAAAGAGAAAAGCGATCTGTACAAGGCATGTGCGACCATCCTGCATATGTCACGCTTCACTTTCCGTCAAAAGCCTCGTGAAGAACAGGCGGAAGTCGACAGCATGGACAGTGAGTAAATTGCTGCTGCGATTTTTCTTCGAAGATTTCTCAGGATCCATCATTGAGTCGATGTACCACTATGTATTGAAGTTTAGTGTACACGTAACCCAGAAGCCCAGTGGAGAATACTTGCAGAAACACAACCTATAGCAAGCGTTCTTACACGACCTTCAAAAAGACCTATCAAAATATCGAGTCCTCTACATTCTGATTTCCATTCTCGAGAGATGGCGTGAAGCTCCAGATTTTGTAGGATGGGCAATTTCTCTCACAGTCTTTTTGATCACCATTGAACGGTCCATTCTTGATTCTTGTTGCTGGGATGAAAGTTCCCATCTGCAATAGATTGGCGGTGAAACAACAGCGTACACGAATGCTTAGATGAGGATCAGTTTCTGAAGCCCTCAGCGCTTCTTCACTTTTGAGAACAAAATTCATATTTCATCTATGTTCAAAGCACTAGGTTTCAAGTTGAAAGCCGAAAATTCAAGCTCGAGAACCCGTCCTTTCTTTCTTTCGAAGGACTTTTCCGGGTTGACCCAGAAATTCTTCTACCTCGGCACCTCTGACAAGAACTTTGCTAACGGTGCTGATTGCAGGTCCCATGAAAGCAGCCAATTTGTTTGGTATTGACGCCGATCAATTTATCTCCGCACTAGTACGGCCGAAAATCAAAGTTGGTACAGAATGGGTTCACAAAGGACAGAACAAGCAACAGGTGAGGAGTTTTCTGGCCAACTCTCTCTGGAACTCATAAAATGTAGCCATCAAGATCCAAAGAATCGCAATATATATAGTTGTTTCCACTCGTTGCGAATCTGGGCGTGACAGTAGGAACAATGCTACAGGGCGAAGGCTACTGAAGCCCATCTGCCGGGTTGATAATAGTAGGGACCACTTTTCAAATAGTCACTTCACAGATAAGAAAAGCTTTCTTTTTCCGATTTTACACTGGTGGTTATTTTTATCAAACACGGTATTGATGGTTTTCAAATGAGAGGCACAGCACGAACTGCTTTGGAGGAGTAAACGTGATAACCTCGAATGGTTTCAGGTTGACTGGGCCGTTGGCACGTTGGCAAAGGCGATCTACGCTCGTATGTTCACTTGGCTCATCAAGCGAGTGAATCGTACACTTTCAGCAAATCTGGATGAGTCGGAGCATTACATTGGAGTGCTGGACATAGCTGGATTCGAAATATTTGACGTATGTTGAAAGTTTTTACAATCATATCATTTAGTACATTACGTAGTACTTCCCTTGCGTTTACGGCAATTATACCTAGCAGCTTTTACGCAACTTTCCCCCTATTGCTTTGTCTTTCGGTTGTGTTCGCAAGGCTTCGCCTTTTCCTCCTCGTAAGAATACGCAGATGATCTCTCTGTTCAAATATTGAACAGCTTCTGAGAGAGCTTCAACCTTTGAGCAATACTTCAGGGCCGCTGCCAACTGCGCTATCGCTAAGAGTTTGATTGCGCGAAAAGAAAGAAATTCATCGATATCTCGTTCCTCATAGACTTAGAAAAGAGCTGAAAAAATGCAACCGTTTGCCTGCTCAGCGACCCCTTCTCTCAGCTTACGTTTCATGGCATAATCAGTGCAGAAGTCCTCACCTCCCCAGCAGAATCAGAACATATGAAGTCAGAGCTACGACAAAAGAAACCGCCGAACGAGATTCATTACAAATCAATTTCAGAGCAACTCATTCGAGCAGCTCTGGATCAATTTCGTCAACGAGAAGCTACAGCAATTCTTTAACCATCATATGTTCGTACTGGAGCAAGAAGAGTATGAACGAGAAGGCATTCAATGGCAGTTCATCGACTTCGGACTCGATCTGCAGTCATGTATCGATCTCATTGAGAAAGTGAGATGTATTACATTCGAGTAAAACGGAATGGTTGAATTTTTCGAGAGTGAAAAACGTGAATGGTGGTAAATCCCTAAGTTCAACTGAACCTGGAACAATTCGAATCATTTAGCCTCTCGGTATCATCTCCATGCTAGACGAGGAATGTATCGTTCCGAAGGCAACCGATATGACCTATGTTGATAAACTGACTAATCAACACCTCGGCAAACATCCAAACTTTCAAAAGGTTTGTTACTTCGTGATATTGGTCTGATGGGGATGGCAGTGATTCCCACCTCATTATTATAGCCAAAATACCTTTCCCACGAAGAACGAGATGCTCTTCTTAAGACGTACATAGTGAGTAATAAACAACAAACATTGACAATACCTTGAAAAAGTCTCTAAAATAAAACGCAATTGCAGTAAATGCTATCAGACAAACTTCCGAGTTGGAGTGTAGTTGGGGGTGCGAAGCCCTTTTGTGCTCTGCGTCTCCGACACCAGACGGCAGAGTGCAGGGAGACCGCGCTAGAGCGCAAAGATGGTTTCCCCCCATTCTAGAAGTTATGTAGGGGAGGAGCTCCGGAGTGGGAGAGATACTTATCTCGTGCGAAAAGCTGGGATGAGGTAAGAATTCAACATCCAATTAGTTCACCCTCCCCCTTCCCTAACTTTTCGAAGGGTGGGAGCTCCGGGATGGGTGAGATGATTAGATGGGGGAAGAATTGGAGAGACGTAGATCACAAAAGGATCTGACTATTTTGTAGCTCGTAAAAGTAACCACATAGCGCCGAATTTTGGCTTTCTATTTAAATTTTGTCAAATCCAAGGAGTTAAGCAACTATTTCACTCGAACTTATGAAAATTCATACAAAGACAAATATTCTGACAGGGACCTCCAAGGAAAGTTTAAGCCCATCTCAGTAACTGATAGTTACTTACAAGCATTTGGAGACTTAAAAATAATGATATAAGGACGTCGAACCAAGAATGTTTCGGCCAGCAAATGACGCTAAACGACGATAGAAAGTTGTTGTTGCAGGCAAAGCCACCGAAAGGAAATCAGGCGCCTGCTCATTTCGCCGTCGTGCACTATGCTGGTACTGTTCGATACAACGCCGATCAGTGGCTGGATAAAAACAAGGTATTGTCGCCACCCACGTGTCTACCTATAGACCACTAAAGGGAACCCCAAGGTTCGACTGTAAATGGAGCACTCAGCGCATACTCGAGAAACTGAATAACACAAAAGCCACTTAATCCTGGTTCTGTCCGAACACTTTTCCCATCGGAACAGGACCCGAGTAGGTCCCAGCAACGAAATTCATGTGTTGAATGCAAATCCTGCCTTTTCAGGATCCGCTGAACGACTCAGCTGTAGCCGTACTGAAGACGTGCGACAAGAGCAGTTTAATCTATCAAATTTGGGAAGACTACATGACCGATGTGGACAGAGAGGAGTTCGCTTCACGAGGTTGGCAACCTCCAAATACCTTTCATTCCATTCACCCGCATGACATGAAAAATTTTCAAGGCAAGGCGCAGGATCGCAAAAAAGGCAAATCAGCTTCATTTCTTACTGTATCGAG